AAGAGTGGCTCCAACAGATCCCAGGAGCAACATCAGAGCTCTTTGTCCAGAAGTGTGCAGTGCTAGGAACAGCTAAGATACTGCGCAGAACCCTCAAACTCCCAGGCCTCTGGTAGAGGACCTGAGATTGAGGAAGACACATGCCACCCATAGGGATGAGAGGGGATATACATACAGACATACATACAGACATACACACACAGAGAAAGAGAGAGAGAGGGATATTTTTCTATGCATACACAACTTATAGGGTTACCAGCCCTGGGTTGCATATATCCAGATCGCCACTACAGGATAGTGAAGAGATACAAAAAACTAATTATTTGCCATCTTCTAGTGATTTTTGCATCCCAGATGCTGTTGTCCTATTTAACAAGAAGGAGAATCTGGGGTCAGTGCATGATCTGTGAGTAGATGATGCAGCCTTTTTGCTAAAATCATACAATACAGATTTGATCCAATCAATGCCTGGATAAGATCAGAAAGGCTGGATAAAAATATACTAAATAAATAGGGATTCAGAGCAAGCTAGTTACTGCTGTCATCTCTATTTTTAGAACAAGCACTTTTGCCCTGCTCCCATGTGCTCCAATAAACAGTATTTGATTCAGCATTAACTGATGTTGCAGAAGTCCCCAAGAAGAAGTAAACACGGATGCTTACTTCACTGCCAGATTCCCTGGAAATCCACCCAATAAACTTCTTCAAACTACTGATCAGTAAGATAGCTTAGCTGTTAGCCTCTCTTTCTTTAGTTCCAATCTTGAACCAGCAGAAAGAGAGGCAGCTCTTGATTAAAGCATTTGTTTATCCTTGTAGTGATGTCTGAGATTTATCTTCATTTTCTCTAGCATGGCTCTCCTATTTAGGGATGATCTGAAGATCCATGTTAGCACACTTATTTCATTGTGAGAAAGCTGGAGGATGCATCCGCACATCTTCACTTAGCAGGAGTAACGGGTTTGAAATCCCCTGCTTGTTGGAAAAGGCAGTGCTGCTCCAGATGGATTAAAGGTCTGAGCTTCATGGACCTCTTTTCCCAGATTCTCCTTGCAAATGACATGTGGCATTTTAAAAGGGGGAGGTTGGAAACATTGCTTGAGGGGAACAGCATCAAGGGCCTATGTGAAGCCACAGTTCTGACATCTGGTTTCCATGGCAGGCCAGGAGGCACAGTACATTCTTATTAAACACTTCTGTTCAACTTCTCCACTTGCACCAAATGATACATTGTCCCAGAGGCTTTAGTGAGTTGCCTTTCATTGCATCCACAGGCAACACAAAGTAAGTACAGTTACACACAAATATACTTTTCCACCAATCAGCGTTCAGGGAGTAAAGAAATAACTGGAAAAGTTGCTCTATTTCCATGGACTGTTTTTCTTTCCAAGGCAACAGGCAAGCTGTAGAACAACCCCCAAACTGCAAAGACCCAGAAATTCCCCTCTTCTGTGATTCACACCTCTGCAGGAAACAGGCACCATTTCCAAGGCACCTGGAAGCGACTACTGGCTCTGTCCCAAGAGGGTTGGATATTTCCAGTTAAGATGCTGGAGTAGGCAGCAGAGGTGGAAATGGCAGGGGAAGGAGGAAGAAGCGAGCAATTATTTCTTTTGGCCAGCATGGGAGAAAAGGATGCCATAGGATATCTTATAGATCCCAGGGACCCTTTTCTCCATGGCTCCAAACCCACAAGGATGTCTTAGGAAAAAGCAACAATCTGATCTTAAACGTGCTTGATTGCCAGACTCAGTCTTTAGCAAGACTGTGCAGGTTTGGCCAGCTTAGGCAAAAGTGGAAATAGCAAGTGATGGCCATATAATCAGCAGTAAACAGAAATGAAATACTGATATTGTGGGACAGGGGGTGATGAAGAGATGCATGCAGGAGGACACATCCTCTCCCTAAAAACACAGATAAATTATCAGCATCTTCCTGCAAAGATTATTCCGATTTAGAATTCTGCTCAAAATAAATAAAACATATATATTAAACTTCCAGAAACTGAGTTTAGTGAAAACTTAGTTAACTCAAAAAAGTACAGCTGAGTATAACAAATAATGGCTGTGTTCACACACCATGCTTATCTAAAATTAACTGAACTATAATTCAATTTACTGGGTTAGCCTGATACAATGAACAGGAAATTAACCTCAATGGCTGGATTCATATACCACACAAGACTGAAATATAGTTGCCTGGTTTGTGTTTCAGTATGTGATGTAACATAGCCAAAACATCCTAGCCAGTATGAAACATTTTAAAAACTATGTCTGGTTGTGCAAATTCTAGAGCAAATTCATAACCCACTATTGCAGGCTAGAATAGGTTGTGATTGACAGTTTATGGTAGCCTAAATTCTGCAGACTGGCTTTGAGAGGTTGACAACCGTCCAGAGTTTTGACTGGAGGTATCTGGTCATTATTTGTCGGCCTAATTCCAAGAGCACACACACTGGCCTTCCTCAATGGATGTTCATCAGATGGTTTTGACTGCAACTCGTATGAGCCTCAGCCACTAAGGCTGAAAGTCAGAAATGACAAGAGTTATAGACCAAATATATGGAGGGTACCAGACTGGGGGAGACTTGCACTCTTCTTCCCTCTTTGATGGTTTCAGATATCAAAGCAACTGAACAATTTTGCAATGTTACCCACTAAACAGTATTTTGAGAAGGGGACTTGATAAAGGCATGGAAAGGGCTTTTGGTAGCTTATAGATTCTTACTTTGAGAGAGCCAGTTTGGTGTAGTGATTAAGGCAACAGGCTAGAAACCGGGAGCCCATGAGTTCTAGTTCCATCTTAGGCACAAAGTCAGCTGGATGACCTTGGGCCAGCCACTCTCTCTCAGTCCTAGAAAGGAGACAATGGCAAGCCACTTCTGAAACCTTGCCAAGAAAGTCCAGGCACTCACCCGCAGTCAACACTGACTCAAAGGCACACACGCAAACACAGATTCCTACTTCAGCCACTTAGCCTCAAAAAGCCCTGTACCCCTGGTCAAGAATCCAAAGCTCCCAGTTTATTTAATACATTTTTGTTTGCAGAGGAGAGGCAAAAAGCAAGTGTTCTTCTCTGGCTAACTCACAACCCTTGTAAATCCTTGCCTGAACTCAAGAGTTCTATATCTTAGTACAGTAATACAATTCCCTAGTTGTAACACAGGACTCCTTCTTCCTGAAACCAAAAAGAGGATCTATCCAGGTACTTTGGTTCTTAAAGCCAACTCATCACAATTATCCGCCCTTCCTTGGCAACATGAAGTAGCACCAAGAGGCTTAAAAAAAAAGAAAGGAAATTCTCGGTCACATTTGTAGTATCCCTTTCTTCCCAATGTCCTAGGGATAACATACACTGTATGAGAGTTCAATTTCATCCTGATAACAGCTCCAGCCAGCCAAAAGGTTTGATGTGGGCTGAGCAGGAACCTGAATCTGGGATCTTCTGCTCCAAATTCAACAGCAGCTGCATTTCTCAATCCCCTCTGCTGTGAATATGTGCATACTTGTGTGAGTGTGTGTATATGTACATATAGAGAGAGGGAGGGGGAGCAAGAGAGAGAAATACAACACCAACCATTAAAGAATTCCTATTTTACCTTGCAAATGTCCACCCCTAGTCGCAGTATTAAGCTCCTGGGTGCTCTTAACAACCTTTTCGGGAGGGGCTATTTGCTTTCCTCTTTCAATCACACTGTTGAAACAAACATTAAGAATGCTCCCGATTTGTTTTAAAGCTTCAAACCTCTCTTTGCCGTGGATGGGCTTAAAAAAAAGAAGAACAAACCTCTGAAAATCCAAACGCATATACGTACTTAAGCGCCCACACACCCCCTCAGTATCACCCTCAGTTATACTTTTAGAACGAAAGAACTGTGCTGGGTCCATCCAACGGCTGCATACTTCTGTCATGTGCTAAGATTATCTGACCGTACCAGCTCCTTCGAAGCACAAGCAAAGAAGGAGAGCGTTCTAACAGGAAGCGGGGAGGTGCTTTGTATTTGGGTATTCCTCCCCCTCGCCCCCGCCGCCGCCGCCGCTTCTGAAAGAAACGAAGACCCCCTTTTCACGCCCCAAGTTGTCTTCTGGGGTCAGCAGAAGGTGCCAAACTCCTGGAGACCGGGCGGGGCGAGGCGAGGCTGACCATTG